AAGAAATAGCATAATTTGTACAGTGACTAAATATTAAGTCAATATACAATAACTGGTGGCTGCTTTACCACTAGCAATATTTGATAGAAAATATGAAAATAGAAATATAGACAAGTTTCTCTTTCTCTATATAACATCAACAATGAAAAACAAACCCTTTTGTATTAGGCTGGCCTTGTCTGAAAGCTGTATTAAGAAGTACTGAGGGCTCCAGTCAAGAAATTTTGATTTATAGGCTCTACCCGCCTTGTGAACCTATGTGTTCCTTAACAATTTATTTACCAGTGGTCATGGCTGGTTGTGTGATCCAGTTCCTCTTGGTGCTCCAGAATCACTGCTACTGTTTGGTGAGAGAGGTGAAGGTTTTGGCCTTCTGCATATTCCAGATGCCTGTTTCTGTAGTGCATTTGCAGTAAAAGGACTTTAGAATTTTGATAAGCCAAAGTGTACCCTGGATTGTCCTTTTGCTTTGGAAAAAACAGTTTGCTGCCAGATTCATATTATGAAAAGCCCAGGCTATGACGGAAAGAGACTGCTGCAATGGTTTCTTTAGGGAAAGACTATTGGCTGCTCTAAAATCAGGTACAGCATCACAAGTGGGGAAAATGAGTAGATGTACCTACTAATTTTGATTAAGCCTAGAGGTGATAAAATCTGGAATCTACGTAGAGCAACACATCTCACCCACAGGTAAGTCCTGACACAGACAGCAGAGTTCCCTTTTCTATGTTTAAGTTAAATAAGCAAGTTACAAAAGACCACGTATTGTATGACCCAATTTATGTAAAACGTGGATATTAAAGTCAAAAAGTAGTCCGTGGTTGCCTAAGTCTGGGAGAGGGAGGGCTTGGGGTGGGGGTGGGGATAGGGTTGGGGGGTAAGGGGAGGAAGTGGGGAGAGATGTGAATAGGTACAATGTTTCTTTTTGGTCTGATGAAAGGGCACTGGATTTGGGCTATGGTGATGTTGCACAAGCCTGCAGTTTTACTACAAACCTTAAAAACTATTTTAAAAGATGAACTTTATGGTCTAGAAATTATTTCTCAATAAGGCTGTTAAAAAGATTCAGTTATTATCTTGAAAAATGTAAAGGATATAATAAACAATAACATTTTGAAAATGACTAACAAGGAATATCTTCATATTGAAATTAAAATTATTAAGTTGGATTAAAATGGGTTTTAAATGTAGTTTAACAAAAGTCAGAATAACAAACAGTTAAATCTGTAATACAGAGTATAATCTGAACTAGGTTTTAAATGGATTTAATTGAAAATGAGTAATGGATATTTTTAAAAAACCAATCAATTTAGTAATTTGAAAATGACCAAAAATAATTTTTTTGTATGGGAATATATAGTTTATTTAGACATAAATTAGAGAGAGGAGAGGAAAGAGGACATATGAAAGAGAGAGAGAGAGAAAGAGAGAGAGAGAGAGAGAGGAGATTCACCTACCCAAGGTAGGGGAGGGGGCAAAGCTTAGGAAAACATGGCCTGGGCATAGCTCAAAAAACACATGACCAGAAGTAGTTTTGCTGAGCAATGGCCCCCAAATAGATTTTTATTATTCAAAGATATAAAAACTTTAAAACTTAATAATTTCCCATGCTACTTTTCATTCTGAGAAAATTGTAGATTCAAATGAAGTTGTATGAAATAATCCAGAATGATTCTTTATACCCTTTACCTAGTTTTCCCCAATAGTCATGTCTTGCACAGCTATAGTACATTATCACTACCAGGATATTGGTATCAATACACTCAGGACACAGAAGAATACTGTCACTAAAATGATTCCTCACGGTGTCCCTTATAGCCACATCTTCTTCCCCTCCTCTTACCCCCTTCCCAGCCCCCATTCTTAACTTCTGGCAACCACTCACCTATACTATGTTCCTAAGATTTCTTGTTTCGAAAGCTGTATAAATGGAATCATATGCTATGTCATCTTTGAGGGCTGACTTTTTAAATTTGTCTCGGTATAATTTCCAAGAGATTCATTCAAGTTGTTCATGTCAATTGTTCATTTATTTTTATTGCTTTTTGTATTCTGTGGTACAGACGTCCCTCAGTTTGTTTAAGCATTTGTCCATTTAAGGACATCTGGATTGTGCTTTTTGGGACTATGATGAACAAATCAGATAAAATGTCCTAGATCAAAATCAGTGGGATGAGGGAGAAGGGATTGTTACTAAGTTGTTACTTGACGGTAGTACTTAATTTAAGTCAATAATTCTACATCTAGAAAGTTATTAAAAACTAAGTATAAATAGGGTATATGCTCAAAATTGTAGCTCTATTTTGCACAAGAACAAAATTCTTTATCTTGAAATAGAAAATATTTTATGTGGTATGTCCATACACTGAAATACTGTATGACTTTTAAAATCTTGTTGTCTAAGTACACTTAGGAAAAATGTGAAAATGCTCATGTTTAATGTCAAGTGAACAAAGAAGATAGATGTGTTTCGTAATTAATGCTCACTGGTTGTAACAAACTACTCCAAAATATGAGGGGTTTTACACAACACTATTTGTTCACACAGCAGGCTAAAGGAAGTTAAAAAAGCTTCCCAGGAAGTTGTTCTTCAAACAGTGAATCAGGGTCAGGCCTCAGCCAGTGTGTGGCTGTTCCAGGTGCTACGTACCTTTCAAGGTTACAGGGGAAGCGGGAGTTGGCCAGAGAATTAGGGGGGCTGTATATAAGGGCTGGGTTTGCAAGTGCCTAATATCATTTGTATTCTCATTCCATTGGCAACAAATGAATCAAATGACCTTCTGCTTAATTTCGGGGGAGGCTGAATAATGTAGCCATCTTGTATAACTAGAAAGAGGAAACAATATGTTAAGTACATAACTGTTATCTACCTAGCAGGGCACCAACCCTTTATACAGTAGGCTACAATTTGATTACATATGGGCATGATATATATATATATATGTCATATATATAAAATATAATTTAACATATATAGAGCGGATTAACTGATTTTTTTGGGTAGATGTTAGAATATACATGCTCTTAATACCTCTTATTGTTTATGTTCTTAAATCCGATCCAATAAAAAATAAATGTTATATTAAGCAATTAGAAATATAAAGCTACTTATTTTATGTATTATGTAAGAAAGTAACACATTCAATAGAACTGTTTAACTTTCATTATTTTGCCTAATTCCTGCAGGAACACCCTAGTTATATTCAGGAACACATCTTTTCTGGTTCTCTAAATTCAGTCCTAGGTCTTCCTTACTTATAAAACATGCTAAAAATGTAGACAATATATTTTTACATGAATAATATTAAGCTAGCTTATTAACTTATAAAGTATTTTTCAAATCAATACCTTTTTACTTTCAGAGGTTTTTTTTTTTTTTTTTTTTTTTTAAATAGCTTCCTCAGTAGTTTCTAAAACCCATTTCAGAATTCTGGTAGCATGCTATTTTTCCTTAAATGAGACAAGTAATTTTTTTTTTGAGGGAGGGTAGCATTTAAAAATAAAATTAAATAATAACATTTTGGGGCATTTTATTCTAGGCAGAGAGAATAGCATATGTAAGGTCATAGAATTGTGACTATGAATTATCTGTGGCAGTGATTTTCAAATTATGGCTCCTGGACCAACACCATTGCCTAGAAAATTTGCTAAAAACTCAATTTTTGGAGTTTTATCGAGGATGACCAACCAGCCTACTTTGCCTGTGACTCTCCTGGTTTTAGCTCCCCAAATCTCACATCCTGGGAAGCCCCTTTGTCCTGGGCAAACTGGGACAGTTATTCACTGTGGGCTGCCCATGCCAGGCATACTGAATCAGAAGTTCTTGGTGTGACGTGCAGCAGTTTGTGTTTTATAATCCCTCCTGGTGATTCAGATGCCTGCTAGGTTTGAGAACCACCAATCTAGAGAACTGTGAGGAGTTTGGCACCACTCAATGATGGGACGATGTGATGAGGGGTGAAGCGGAAGAGTAAGCAGAATAGGGTTGCATTTTTTGTTTAAAAGTTTTATCCTAAAGCTGATTAGCATTAACTCATTAACTCGTGAAAGGACTTTAATTGGGGAGGATTATTTTGAGCTGGATCTTTGCATATACAAAACCACTATGACCGATTAAAATATTTTATTTTATCTATAAGTAAAATTGTATTTTAGCCAATTCCAGTTTGCAAACTAACATGAAATTAAACATTGAGAAAGAAAATACGACCTTCACATGTATCAGCTTGGTTTATGTACTTGGGAAGGATTTCTGAATGACTATGAAAACGCACATTTTTTTGTTTATGCATACTTGGTTTAAATTTGAACTTTAATAACTTTCTGGAAATAGAAAGTATTTCTAATTCATCAAATAAATATTCTTTGGAGGATATTAGGTCCAGGATTATGAATGCAGTTTATGAAATGAAGAACAATCCCACAACTGTCCTATCTTCAATTATTTGGAAAAACACACAAAACCCGAAACCTTAAAGCAATGCTGTCCTTTTATTATAAGTATGAGAAACACGTTTAAATGTAGCTGACAGTTTACTTCCATTATAATTTGCTTTACCTGCCAGGTTCGGTGGCTCAGCCTGTAATCCCATGCCTTTGGGAGGCTGAGGTGAGTGGATTGCCTGAGCCTGCGGGTTCGAGACCCGCCTGGGCAGCAAGACCTCATCTCTACAGTAAATCAAAAAATCAGCCGGGCGTGGTAGCGTGCACCTGTAATTCCGGCTACTTGGAAGGCTGAGGCTGGAGGATCGCCGGAGGCCAGCAGGTCGAGGCTGCGGGGGCTGGGAGTGGCCACTGCACTCCAGTCTGGGCAACAGAGTGAGACTCCAACTCAAAAAATAATAATAATAATAATAATTTGCTTTACCTAAAAGTACCAAATCTTTATGTTGCGGAAGGTCTTTCTATACACTTGGAAGCTAGAACCTACTTCTCAAAACTTGAAATAATACTGGGACGTATATATTCACATCACATTTTTTTCTTCAATTTGTATTTAGGAAATGGCTGGTTTCTTGACGACGTTGTTGTCAAGGATCCTACAACAAACCACGAGTATGCCTTCTTCTGTCACAGGTTTGTAGGTGTGCTTTTACGCTGAACACATTCATTTCATATTAGTCACTTCCAAGTTCATATATTGAGAACTGCATAGCCTGTATAGTTTTTCCTAGTCATCGAGACTTTGTTAGGTTACTTTTGTGAATATTAATCTTAGGGGCTGCTTCTTCTACTGAAAAAGACATCCATTATGTTGATCATCATTCCTGGTTAGGCAAATTTAATATTTAATGGTAAATTAAGATATATTTGAAAAAATGATTTCTCTCTACATATCCATAAGGAGATCAACAGTCTCTGACAAGGAAACATATTTCTTGTGGATGAGATCCCACATTAGGTTCAAAAATAATAAATGTGCACAATATTTCATGTAGCTTTTTACATAGTGATGATATAGATGACCCACTGTCCATGGACCTTGATTTTTGAGTTTTTTTCCCAGTCGTAATGACAGATTTGCTTTTTCTTTCAATACTCCCCTGCCTTTTTCCTCATGGAACCAATAATAGCCACTTATGAAATAACTGACAGAAGTTTAAATGGTAGCTGGTGGCCAAAGGGCAGGATAGATTGATCTGGTGGACATAAAACCTTTGATGACTTTGGCAGTTAGCAAGCTAACTGATTGAATAACTCACCCGTGGATAAGGGAATGAATGTATTTTATCCTTTTCATAGCGTAGTTGCTTCTTCCACCTCCCTTGCACTCTTACGGTCATGCAGGATTTCCTTTTCTGTTCTGTGCTCCTCTGCCTTTAACAACTAGACAACCTTGTCTTTCCCAACTCCTGCTATCCATCATTTCTGACTTGGGAAGATAGTTGCTAATGGCAGTTATGCAAAGTCTGACTATATATAAAGTTGGAAAATAATCCATATACTTTTCTTCCCACAGGTGGCTGGATCAAGGGGCTGATGATAGTAAAATTGTCAGAGAACTGTATGCCAGAGATAACAGTAACTTCTCTGCAAGTAAGTGTCATGTACACACATTTCTTGGAAAATTGTGTTTTGTGATGACTGAGAAACCATGACACTGTTGAAATGGATGATCCTTTCTTTCCTTTATCTTCTCAGGGCAGAAGCTAGAACTTAAGAGAAAAGAAACAGTAAGCTTTTACTTTGAGCTTCAAATTATTTAGTGCAAGCACTGTTCAAATGGCTTCTCCTACTGGTGTCTTTGTTTTGCTTTGTTTTTCTTTTCAGTGGACTGCAGAAAGCTGGAAGTTTATGAAAGGAAATACTCTTCAGTTCTACAACAGACTGACTGGCGGGTTTGTCCGTCTGCATCCAGATGGTACGGTTGATGCCACTGGTGAGAAGAAAGACAAATATGGTAAAATCATTTGGCAAAACATGTGATGCTGGGCAGGTCGAGGAGCTGAAGGAGTTGAAGATTTCTAGACACAGTTTAATGGATGGTTTAGCTCCTTTTTCAGATGGCTTTACACCAGTTTTAGGTCATTTAAACTATTCACTATGTGTATTACTACAAATGATTAATAGATAGCTTTAAATCTGTACAGACAATTTTACTGTATACCATGAAAAAATTTATGTTTGGTATTAATTAATTAAATAATAAAATTTAGGCAATTAATATTAACTGCTTATAAAAAGCAGCAGATGTAGCTCTTGAATGTATGATCATTTAAGGAATGAAGTCAGTTCTACTATCGTGTGCCTCTTCTGACCAAAACACCATGTCAGATAATTTTAGGGCCACAGAAATAAATAAAATATTACCCCAAATTTCAGAGATTTATGATCTAATGAAGAAGACAAATGCATACAATTCTGATCATAGTTGTTTTAAAGCTAGTGTCATAGTAAAGTACAAAGGAAAACTAGGTGAAGGAAAACTAGATTTGCTGCTTGATATCTCCGTGTCATGAAACCGTGAACATAAGGATTGACAAAGAAGAATACACTGATAATAGTGGATCGTTGACTATAAACTCAAGCCTCCAACTCTTTTTGAAATTCTGGCTTTCATTTTTTAAACAAAATTTTCCTGCTGTGTCTATGGATTTTGCTTTTTTATACTTGGTTAGTAACTTTACTGTTCAAATAGCCTCTAGGATGTGCTGGAGATACTGACCTATAGTATTTCCTCAAAATGTTACCTCTTTCACCTCATATTTGAGATCCTACGGAACAATACAATTTCTCCTCTATAAAAATAAATGACTGTCTAAGAATACTTCTTAGTAACTTTTCTTTCCAAAATTAGTCTATTCTTTAGACATTTTTCTTACCTGGGCAAAAACTGGTTCCCACTTGGGATTACTTGTCCACTTAAAGCAAAGTGGCCCTTCATATCCTATTCCCTGGGTCCTGTGCTACCAATGTTGATACCTTTTTCTTTCTTAGTATGATGTATTTGCAAATATGACCACAAAAATATTTCCCATTGTTAAATCAGAAACTGTGAAGGATCTAAGTTTTTACCCTACTTGTAAAAGACACAAGAACATGGGATCAGAGACCAGGACTGTTTATTTCTCAGCAAATGTAGCAGCCAGAGGATGTCTTGTGTTGGGTTCCCTGAATTCTAGTCCCTCAATGTCATGATATGAGAGGGTCTGATAGGACCAGCACTTGAAGCCAGGTACAGTTAAGGAGATAAATTTGCAGACTAGGAAGCTCTGATCTTGTATAGGGCTGCCCATTCTTCCTTCCAGAGAGTGAAAGTTATACAGAGATATAGCAGAGATTGTGTGTGTGTGTGTGTGTGTGTGTGTGTGTGTGTGTGTGTGTGTGTGTGTGTGAGAGAGAGAGAGAGAGAATCTTTAAGATGGAATGTCTCCTTATACAAACATTTTGTAAAAGCGTTTGCTCAGAGGTACTAGATTTCTCATGTCCCTACAGGATGGGACTTAAGAAATCTAGGGACTAGAAAGAACTGGCTTCTCATACCCAGTCCATGTGCTAGTTTATAAAGGCAATTTGCTACCCCCACATAAAGAAGTAAAGCTGATTTCCTCACCCATTTCTGAGTCAGCTCTTAATATATATATATAAAACTTTAATTTCTAACATCTGCATATTCTACCCTCACTTCTTGGGTGAATCCTTCTTGGAATCTAGCCTTCATGCAGTAAAGAGTCTCAGCAGCCATGTGGAGAGGTCCTTAGGGAAAGATCTGTCTCTGACAGCCCTAGCTGAATTTCCAACCTGCAGCCACCACCAGCTGCCAGCATGTGAACCTCTGTGTAGACCAAACTAATTGGCAGATGATGAAAATAGAGAAAGTTTTTTACCTTTCAATGTTTCTAGCATCCTCATATGCTGGGTTCTACCATATATAAAGCAGAATGAGCTTTTCTAAAAAAGGCAAGTACAGGACAGTATGAGTAATTTCCCTCAGTGTGAGGAAAATTTCATTTTGTAACAGGAGATCTTTTATGTGTGATAATTACTTGCAGGATTATCTCCTGATGTTATGCTCAGTGTCCCATAAATTCACACTCATGAATCAGTTTTCACATGCCTCGAAAGTGTTGTGATAAAAAATGCTGATCCACAGACATCTTTTCAAGAAAATATTTTAAGAACATGTCTTTGAGATCTTTTGACTTACAATTTTCACTCCCCGAAACTACGTGTTTTTTTTTTTTTTTGTCACCACAAGCCAGTATTTCTATTTAGTTATCAAGCTGGTTGTGAGTTTAGTTATTTCTATACTCAGAGAGTTATAATGCTCAGATCTCTGAGTGCTACTGGACCATTCCTTGGAAACAATGGGCCTAAAAGCAGACATACAGCATGAAAAGATTCTTTGAAATGCAACAGGGAGCTTCATTTTCTGATCATAAGTTTTTGGGTACTAAAAACAATGCTGTGACATTGACAATGACAGTCATAAAACGTCTTCATGTGTCTGTTGTGGGGTCCTATAACTAAAAGGAAGGACCAAACAAAGCTATTCAGTTTTTAACAATGAACCTTTGATGGCTACTTTTATGTCTGACAGTTTCGCAAATTTCACATCTCATGAAATTTCAAAAGATTTACTCTAAAATATAGATTCATATAGTTCTTTCATTTTATAGTAGTAGTCTTTCAAGATAAAACATTCATAATCTAGATTCAGGTATATTTCATTTATATTACTGAAAGGATATTTAAATATTTACAATATATTATGTAGTTGGAAGTTTCTAATGTGTCATTATTGCCTGTCCTCTTTATTATTTCTGTATGCAGCTATGTAAATAGTTTTACCTGGTTTTGATAGTGTCTTTTGTTTTTGGAGTGTTTATCCGTACTATGTCAGACTATTGCATATGGAAAAAGTAATTGTATTTTTCAGTGTGGAGGTTTTAAAATATGTTCCACAAATTACTTGACACTGCTCCCTTCAATGGGGGGAAGCTAATCCCTCTCCGCATGAGTATAGGCTGGATTTAACCACTATCTTCTTATAGAATGTGGTGGAAATGAATGTGTGTTACTTTCATGAGTGGGTCATAAGAGGCGTTACAGATTCCTTCTGGCACTCTTTCGTAGATCATTCTCTCTGAGGGAGGCCAGCTGCCATGTCACAAAGACATTCAAGCAGCCTTGTGGAGAGGCTGACATAGCAAGGCATAGAAGCTTCTTGCCAACAGCCTTGTGAGTGCGTCATCCTGTAAGCGGATCCTCTGGCTCCAGTCAAGCCTTTAGATAACTCTAGCCCCAGTCAATAACTTGATTGTGATATTATGGAGAACCACCCAGATAAGTTGCTTCTAACCTACAGGTTGGGAATTTCTGACCTACAGAAGTTAAAAGAGATAAATGTTCATTTTAAGTTGTGACGTTTGGGAGTCATATTTTACACAGTAAGAGATCACTAACATACCATACACTGTTCTGTAAGGTAACTGCTCGTGGCATTTTCTTACTCTGGGTACTACTTAGGACTCCACTCTCCCTTCACACTAAGTTATGGCCAGGAATGGAAAGGGAAGTTTCACTGTAAGTGGAATCCTTATTTTTTTTTCTTATGTTATGTTATGTTTCTATTTCTATATTCTACAGTGGTGCCATGGGAAGTCCTGAATATTTCGTGTATTTTTTCTATAATGTCAATATTAATGTCCCTTTAATGGCTATGGCTGCATTTTACAAAATGTTCCCTGTAGAGTGCAGTGCAAAGATTATGAAAAATTCTAATAGAAAAATAATGAACCACACCCTTTCATATTAAAACCACTCAACAAACTAGGAATGGAAGGGAGTGTCTTCTACATGGTAAAAGCCATTCATGAAAAACCCACAGCTAAAATTATAGTCAGTGGTTAAAGACTGAAAGCTTTCCCCCTGTTGGGACTTGGGAAACAATATCTCAAAATATGGCACTTTGACCTGCTGAATTATAGAAGTGGCCTCATGATTTCTCTGACCTCTCTCTGCTTAACCCTCTGTGTCTCCCAAAGCCTAGGATAAGACTGTTCTCTGAGGTTTCCTTATCTACCTAGAAATTGGACCTCCAGAGAGAAACACAATTGCCTTTGATCCCTCCCCTGAAATTTCATTAACTAGAAAATATTAAAACTCATGTCACAGAGGAAGAGACAGAAAATTTAACACCTAGATCTCAGAGGGACTTGGAACTTTGTCCCAAACTAGTATTTATTTTTCAGTCCCTTTCAATTTCCAAAGAGAATCACTCACAAGATAATGCCTAACTCTTGGGTCCATTTACTTACCTTCTGAAAATAGCTTTTCCCTATATCCCTGTGTGCTCTTTCCCTATAAAAAGAGATATATAAGCATCGTTACCCCACAGGCTTATTGGGTAATCATTCTCCTGCACTCCCCCATGCGTGCACACTAAAATGTATGCCTTTTCCCCCTATTAATCTGCATTTTGTCAGTTCATTTTCAGTGATCCTTCAGTGGGTGAAGGGGGAAGCTTTTTTCCTTTGTCCCTACAACCCTAAGTCTAAAACAAGCCAAGAATGCCTTCCCTGCCACTTCTAGTCAACATTTTACCGGAAGTTTTAGGTAGAGCAGTTAGGGCAAGAAAAAGAAATAAAGGACATCCAAATTGAAAAGGAAGAAGTAAAATTATATCTATGGATTACCTGATCTCATTTATAGAATACCCAAAAGGTTACACACACACACACACACACACACACACACACACACACACACACACAATTACATCTAGTAAATCAAGTTGTCAAGGTTGTAGGATATAAGATCAACACACATACATTATTTATGTTTACATTTAATATCAATAAGCAATCCAAAAAATGTGTTTAAGAGAACAATTCTACTTATGATACCATCAAATTCTATTAGGAATAAAGATAGATAAGACAATCTCAGAGCACAATC